GCCCTTTCTGAACTTCCAGAACTTTGTAGGATGTTTTGTGGTGACTCTACCCCTGAGTGTTCTGATAGCTACTGGTGGAGCAGTTCTTTACCCCTCTGCCTGTCACTGAATAATAATTTACTTATGAAACTGTGTTGCAGTTGCATTCTTACCTTTCTTAAAATAATTAAGTATAATATGTCAGAAATGTTGCTTTTCTTCTTCCATCTTTAATATTAAAATGGCTACACAAAAACTCACCAATTTTTATTTTTTTAAATGCACACTGATATGACAATATATAATACAATCTAAGAAAATGATTTCAAATGAAGTTAAAGGACAGCTAAGTGCTACTAGAGCCATCTTACAGAAAAAAATTGAACGGACTTTCAGCCAACCCAATATATTGGCACACAGGTTAGGGTAGGGGAAATTTAGTCACTGAAAATTAAAAATGCATCAAAAATAAATAAAACTTAAGTTCAATTCAATTCAGCTGCTCAGTCGTGTCCAACTCTTTGCAACACCATGGACTGCAGCACACCAGGCCTGCCTATCCATCACCAATTCCCAGAGCTTACTTAAACTCATGTCCATTGAGTCAGTGATGCCATCCAACCAGTTCATCCTCTGTTATCCCCTTCTCCTCCTGCCTTCAATCTTTCCCAGCATCAGGGTCTTTTCAAATGAGTCGGTTCTTTGCATCAGGTGGCCAAAGTATTGGAGTTTCAGCTTCATCATCAGTCTTTCCAATGAATATTCAGGACTGATTTCCTTTAGGATGGACTGGTTGGATCTCCTTGCAGTCCAAGGGACTCCCAAGAGTCTTCTCCAACACCACATTTCAAAAGCATCAATTCTTCAGAAAGCTTTCTGTATAGTCCAATTCTCACATCCATACATGACCACTGGAAGAACCATAGCTTTGACTAGATGGACCATTGTTGGCAAAGTGATGTCTCTGCTTTTTAATATGCTGTCTAGGTTGTCATAGCTTTTCTTCCAAAGAGCAAGCATCTTTTAATTTCCTGGCTGCAATCACCATCTGCAGTGATTTTGGAGTCCCAAAAAATAGTCTGTCACTGTTTCTACTGTTTCCCCATCTATTTGCCATGAAGTGATGGGACCAGATACCATAATCTTAGTTTTCTGAATGTTGAGTTTTAAGCCAAGGTTTTTGCTCTCCTTTTTCACTTTCATCAAGAGGCTCTCTAGTTGTTCTTCATTTTCTGCCATAAGGGTGGTGTCATCTGCATACCTGAGGTTATTGATATTTCTCCCAGCAATCTTGATTCCAGCTTGTGCTTCATACAGCCCAGCATTTCTCATGATGTACTCTGCATATAAGTTAAATAAGCAGGGTGACAATATATAGCCTTGACATACTCCTTTCCCTATTTGGAACCAGTTTGTTGTTCCATGTCCAGTCCTAACTGTTGCTTCCTGACCTACATACAAACTTCTCAAAAAGCAGGTCAGGTGGTCAGGTATTCCCATCTCTTGAAGAATTTTCTATAGTTTGTTGTTATCCACACATTCAAAGGCTTGACATAGTCAATAAAGCAGAAGTAGATACTTTTCTGGAACTCTCTTCCTTTTTTCAATGATCCAGCGGATGTTGGCAATTTGATCTCTGGTTCTTCTGTCTTTTCTAAATCCAGCTTGAACATCTGGAAGTTCATGGTTCATGTACTGTTGAAACCTGGCTTGGAGAATTTTGAGCATTATTTTGCTAGTGTGTGAGATGAGTGTAATTGTGCTGTAGTTTGAGCACAAACTTTGGCATTGCCTTTCTTTGGGATCAGAATGAAAACTGACCTTTTCCAGTCCTGTGGCCACTGCTGAGTTTTCCAAATTTGCTGGCATATTGAGTGCAGCACTTTCACAGCATCATCTTTTAGGATTTGAAATAGCTCAAATGGAATCCATCACCTGGCACTAGCTTTGTTCATAGTGATGCTTCTTGATGCCCACTTGACTTCTCATTCCAGGATGTCTGGGTCTAGGTGAGTGATCACACTATCGTGATTATCTGGGTCGTGAAGATCTTTTTTGTATAGTTCTTCTGTGTATTCTTGCCACCTCTTCTTGATATCTTCTGCTTCTAAACAAAACCTAGCTATAACAAAATATTTCAGAAAGGCTGAAGTATGAAGAGAAGTGAAATTAGGCCCAACAGATGCAAATCAAAAAAGCAAGAGTAATGATCTTGATATGTGACAACTTAAAATTCAGGCCAAGAGCATTATGTGAACAACAACAAAGCAATGAAAACGTATTTTTAATACTAACAGCTATAATTCACAGTGAAATTATAGTAGATTTGAATTTATGTCCCTCAAAATACAGATGCAACTACCTAAGAAACTACGTAGTACTTACAAGGAGAGAGGAGCACATTAATAAGAGTAACTTTAAACCATTTTGGTCAAAACAGATCAAGAGGAAAAATACAAATACGGATTTACAGTATATAAACAGAAAAGATTGTATCTTACAGTTATATACTATATAATTATATCCTGTCTTCTCAAGGTATATGAACTCTTTATGACTACTGACTATTAAGTCACAACAAAAATGTCAAACAATGTCATAACACAAACTTATTTCCTCGTCTCATGCAGTAAACTGTTACTGGATTAAAAAAACCAGTTGTGAACTTGTAGCCTAAGACGGAGAAAATCAGAGTTTATACACTGAGACTTGGCCTATTCCTCTTGTTGTATTACAGACGGTTTTGACTAAAAACTTGGGTCTCACAAAAACTTTTTCCAAAATATTTAAATTTACAAAAATCTAAAGAACACACATATTTATCATGATCCACTTGGAATAATTTTATGGTTTACTCAGCATCTCATTAATATGTATAAAATGTGGTGGGCTGATTTATGTGTGTGTTAAATCATGCTTGGTCATTTGCTCAGTTATGAAGTTTTTCTGTTTTCTGTGCTGGTATATATATTTGTATGTAAGGGTTAGTTTGATGGCTCATTGTCTAGAGGAATAAAATAACCAATAATCATGGAGGACATTGGGATTTCTCTGATGTGATTTCTTTTAACTAATTAATTTGACTGCCTCAGGTCTCAGGTGCAATGCACGGAATCTTCACTGCATCAGACAGGATCTCTTATTGCAGCTCACAGACTCTCTAGTTGTGGTGCGTGGACTCAGTAGCTGCAGCTTAGTTGCCCTGTGGATATGGGACTTTAGTTCCTGGATCAAGGATCAAACCTATGTCCCCTGCATTGGCACGTGGATTCTTTACCACTGGACCAACAGGGAAGTCCCTCTAATGTGACTTTAATGCATAAAAAGTTGCTTCTAAAAAAGATACAAGCTTTTCAAATATAAGATGGCACTGCCTCTGTTCTAATCCATCCCCTGTTGTTTCTGAGCTTTTTTATTTATTTATTTATTTATTTATTTATTATTTATTTTTCCATTTATTTTTATTAGTTGGAGGCTAATTACTTTACATCATTGCAGTGGTTTTTGTCATACACTGAAATGAATTAGCCATGGATTTACATGTATTCCCCATCCCGGTCCCCCCTCCCACCTCCCTCTCCACCACTGCCATATGACCCAGCAATCCCACTTCTGGGCATACACACCGAGGAAACCAGATCTGAAAGAGACGCGTGCACCCCAGTGTTCATCACAGCACTGTTTATAATAGCCAGGACATGGAAGCAACCTAGATGCCCATCAGCAGACGAATGGATGAGGAAGCTGTGGTACATATACACCATGGAATATTACTCAGCCATTAAAAAGAATTCATTTGAATCAGTTCTAATGAGATGTATGAAACTGGAGCCCATTATACAGAGTGAAGTAAGCCAGAAAGATAAAGACCATTACAGTATGTTTCTGAGCTTTAACTACTCATAGCCAGCTGTATGGAGGAGGGAAAGCCCTGCTGGAGTCGCATCCTCCTAGCCCAGCAGGGCTAAGCTCACAGCTTGACTCTAGCAGAGGAGACTATGGCCTCTGCTTCTCCCAGTCCCCTTCGCCTTTATTACTTTAAGTATCCAGTATTCACCACTTCCGAAGCTGCAACACTCCTCTAATTGAGTTAATCGATCAAGATACACTCACCCTTCTCATGGCTTGTAAGACTTTTTAACTTAAAGAACTTTTTATTGTCAGAGCTCTTAACATCCTTGATTACTGACAATCCATGCAAACTGTGAAACAGAAGACAGGCATCAGTGTGCAGAAACCTTCAGGTGGAATGATCAGGTGGAGAAAGAGTTTAACCCTCCTTGGATACCATGAATTTTCCCTGCAGCTAGATCCACTATCATATAATATAATACAAGTTCTAAGTCTCATCTCTCCCCTTCCCCACATAGTTCCAGTTGAGGGTGCTGTATAAACAATACATGTTTCTGGAAGATCTCATCCAAAGAACTGAACTTTCTCCATCGTCCACACCTACTGCCTCACTGAACAGCCACCTTTGCCAATTTCAAAACCATAATCAAAGAATTATCCTTTGATTATTACAATTAAAGGGCTGCAACAGGAAATGCACCTGTTTCCATATTAAGTCTATCAATTTAGTAATTAGATATAACCTTTGCCAAATGTCTTTAGATAAGTTGGCAGATATGTGCATTTGTTGGCATAAAACCAGGATGTGGCAGTAACATGAGTGAGTTGCCTATTTTTCTGGTATTAAGCAGATTTTTCAAATTTATTCAGGTGAGTCATGAAAGAGACAGACGGTGGATTTCCCTCCGGCCGTGGGGGCCTATTCTTGGGACTTTGTGTTTGTGGAGTGTGTGAAAGCTGTGACACTTGACCCCTGTCCCATTGAAATTCCCAGCTCAGCTCAGTCTTTGTCGGTGAGGGGAGCAGCTGCAGTGAAGGCAGAGCTTCACCTGCTGCCTGCAGGACATGAAGTCTGCTCTGTGGACAGTCACTATTGTTTGAAGTGGTCAGACGCTTTTCACAGCTGGTTTATGGCAATTTATACTTTCTGTTTTGTCTTTTTCACACAGCTGTGGTGAACTTGGACAATTCTGTGGTTGACCTGGAGACCCTTCAAGCTCTCTATGAGAATGTGAGTAAAAGGAGGTTTTCTGTGTGAGAATGTGACACACACAGTTCTTATCAGTGTCCATGTCTGGGCTCATTGCCTCCGTGTCCTCTGAGGAAGTTTGATACAGGAGCGCTGAATTTACAGAAGTCTGGGTTTGTTGAAATGTATGCTTTCTAGAAATATATTGAATGAATGCATGGTCTCATAGTTTTAAAAATGGTGATTCAAATGTTGTATATGCGGTCTTTCAGATTCCTTCTTTTGAAATATAATCAATGCTTCGGCAGAGGGTAATTTGAGAGGAACATTGTGTGGCGTGCTAGTGCATTTACTCTTGATGTGAAAACTCTCAGTAGCTGCTATTATTGCTCTATTTTACAGATGAGGAAAATTGGCAGAGAGAGTCCACACCACCTGCCCAAGTCACATGTGTTGTGTTGTGGTCCGGTGGGATGTGATTTCATTCTGTCTCTGTTTCTCTGTCTGCCACTGTTTCCTTCACTGAGCGTCAGGACATGGTATTTTTCTCCTGATACCACTTTCTCTTAGAAGGGTGGCCGGAAGCAGGCATGAGGAGAACCGACCAGGGCATGTGCTCTGGGAAAGTGCAGTCTGGGGTGTGCTGTGTGAAGTGACTTTTGCCGGCACTTGGCATTAAATAACTGATTCATGTAGTAAGAAAGAGATTCTCTCTTCAATGTGTTTGATTGAATCTAGCAAAGTCTCAGTGTGGCCATGTTTTCTTCCTTGGTTTCTGTTCTTGCCTGTGGTCTGCCTGGTATTTAAGCCTCTGTGATTAAATGGGACCTGATTTGGCTGGTCCTGGGTTTTCTGACCCTCTTCCTCAACCGCTCCCTTGAGGACAGTGTGTTCCACCTGTATGTCTGTTCTCAGATTCAGTACTTTTAAAGCACATGTCCACATGGTGTCCCTGTGAGGCCAGGCCCTTCATGGGCAGGTATTTCTCATGAAGCACCACCCAGTCCATGGGTGAAATACACAGCTGTGGTGAACGCAATGTGGCAGCTGGTGCCCATTGTGGGCAGAGGTGTGTGACTCATTAATGAACTGGAGAGGAAGGCATGAGTGTTTCGTTACCTGGTGGCCACTGCATGATGGAAAACTTGGGAAAAATGGGACTGTTTAGAGGTATACAGAACTTTCACTTCCCTCATCTTTCCTGCCAACCCGCTCTCAACCAAGAACCAGGTGGAAGAAACAAGGAAACACCACAGAGAACAATGTCTTCATCAGGTTGTAACCATGTCAGACTTCACTGGTTTTTATGTAACTGTAGCTCGTGCACATATTCCATGTACTGATGTGTACATGTCTTTCTGCAGATACATAGTGTGTATGTCTGTACATTATATGAAGGCATGAATGTTTTATTTTAAGCTGGTATATCCATGTGCAGAAACATATTCAGAACAAAACAGAACATTGGGGACAACTGTATTTATAAGGAGAGTTTATTTTGCAGTGATTTAGAGTATTTTCTTTGGGAGATTTTCGCCTTTAAAGTAACTTCACAAAATAGAAATTTCTGACTGTGGACAAACCCGATAGCTACCCAGAATCTCTTACCATCGTACTCCATGAAAGCAGAGCCAGCACCAACTGGAACTGGTTACATTTGTGGTTTTCTTTATATTGTTGACATCATTAAATCTGATGGTTCAGACTTTCACTGTGTCAGGAAAACAGTCATTTTGTGGTAGGAGTGGTTCACAGTGATACTGGTTTAAGTGGGAATATTCTGGATTGTTTTGATCACTATCTTCAGTAGAGGAACTTAAAGTACCCCTTATGAATAGGAGATGCCTTGTCTAATAATATGTGCCTTGTATACAAACAGAACTCATACTAATCCCTGAGTCATGTCCATTAATATACAAGGCCAAAGATGGCAGAACCATTTCTTTTATCCACAGCAACATCCTGAGCACCTAGATTCAGGTAGTACTGGTAACACAGGAAATATTCAGAAAATGTTAAATGGATCAGTCATTTCAGCTCAGTTGTGCCTGACTTTTTGCAACCCCATGGACTGCAGCACGCTAGGCTTCCTAGTCCATCACCAACTCCCGGAGCTTGCTCAAACTCATGTCCATTGAGACGGTGATGCCATCCAACCATCTCATCCTCTGTCCTCCCCTTCTCCTCCCTTCAATCTTTCCCAGCATCAGGGTCTTTTCCATTGAGTCAGGTCAGTTCTTCACATCAGGTGGCCAAAATATTGGAGCTTCAGCATCAGTCCTTCCAATGAATATTCAGGACTGATTTCCCTTAGAATTGACTGGTTTGATCTTCTTGAAGTCCAAGGGACTCTCAAGAGTCTTCTCCAACACCACAGTTGAAAAGCCTCAATTCTTCAGTGCTCAACTTTCTTTATGGTCCAACTCTCACATCCGTGCATAACTACTGGAAAAACCATAGCTTTGACTAGACGGACCTTTGTTGGCAAAATAATGTCTCTGCTTTTTAATATGCTGTTCATGTGGTCATAGCTTTTCTTCCAAGGTGCAGGAGTCTTTTAATTTCATGACTGCAGTCACCATCCACAGTGATTTTGGAGACCCCCAAAAATAAAGTCTGTTGCTGTCTCCATTGTTTCCCCATCTATTTCCCATGAAGTGATGGGACCAGAATGTTGAGATTTAAGTCAACTTTTTCACTCTCCTCTTTCACTTTCATTAAGAGGCACTTTAGGTCCTCTTCTCTTTTTGCCATCTAGGGGATGTCATCTGCATATCTGAGGTTATTGATATTTTTCCTGGCAATCTTGATTCCAGCTTGTGCTTTATCCAGCCTGGCATTTTCCTTGATGTACTCTTCATATAAGTTAAATAAGCAAGGTGACAATATACATCCTTGACAATCTCCTTTCCCTATTTGGAACCAGTTTGTTGCTCCATATCTGGTTCTAACTGTTGCTTCTTGACCTGTGTACAGATTTCTCAGGAGGCAGGTCGGGTGGTCTTGTATTCCCATCTCTTAAAGAATTTTCCACAGTTTGTTGTGATCCACATAATCAAAAGCTTTGGCACAGTCCATAAAGTAGATCTTTTTCTGGAACCCTCTTGCTTTTTCAATGATCCAGTGGATATTGGTAATTTGATCTCTAGTTCCTCTGCTTTTTCTAAATCCAGCTTGAGCATGTGGAAGTTCTCAGTTCAGGTACTGTTGGAGCCTGGCTGGGAGAATTTTGAGCATTACTTTGCTAGTGTGTGAGACAAGTGCAATTGTGCAGTAGTTTGAGCATCCTTTGGCATTGCCTTTCTTTGAGATTGGAATGAAAACTGACCTTTTCCAGTCCTATGGCCACTGCTGAGTTCTCCATATTTGCTGGCACATTGAGTGCAGCACTTTAACAGCATTATCTTTTAGGACTTTAAATAGCTCAACTGGAATTCTATCACCTTCACTAGCTTTGTTCATTGTGATGCTTCCTAAGGCCCACTTGACTTCGCATTCCAGGATGTCTGGCTCTAGGTGAGGGATCACACCATTATGGTTACCTGGGTCATTGAGATCTTTTTTGTATAGTTCATCTGTGTATTCATGTCACCTCTTCTTAATATCTTCTGCTTCTGTTAGGTCCATACCATTTCTGTCCTTTTTTGTGCTCATCTTTGCATGAAATGTTCCCTTGGTATCTTTAATTTTCTTGAAGAGATCTCTAGTCTTCCCCATTCTGTTGTTTTCCTCTATTTCTTTGCATTGATCACTGAGGAAGGCTTTCTTATCTCTCCTTGCTATTCTTTGGAACTCTGCATTCAGATGGGTATATCTTTCCTTTTCTCCTTTACCTTTAGCTTCTCTTCTTTTCACAGCTATTTTTAAGTCCTCCTCAGACAACCATTTTGCCTTTTTGCATTTCTTTTTCTTGGGGATGGTCTTGATCCCTGCCTCCTGTATGATGTCATGAACCTGTCCAGAGTTCTTCAGGCAGTCTGTCAGATCTAATCCCTTGAATCTATTTGTCACTTCCACTGTATAATCATAAGGGATTTGATTTAGATCATACCTGAATGGCCTAGTAGTTTTCCCTACTTTCTTCAATTTAAGTCTGAATTTTGCAATAAGCAGTTCATGATCTGAGCCACAGTCAGCTCCAGGTCTTGCTTTTGCTGACTGTTTAGAGCTTCTTCATATTTGGCTGCAAAGAATATAATCAGTCTGATTTTGGTATTGACCATCTGGTGATGTCCATGTGTAGAGTTGTCTCTTACGTTGTTGGAAGAGGGTGTTTGCTATGACCAGTGCGTTCTCTTGACAAAACTCTGTTAGCCTTTGCCCTGTTTCATTTCATACTCCAAGGCCAAAGTTGCCTGTTAGTCCAGGTATCTTTTGACTTCCTAAAGTTGCATTCCAGCCCCCTATGATGAAAAGGACATCTTTTTTGAATATTTATATAAATTCATGAGTGAACTCTGCTGGTAGGCTTGGTTGTATGACCTCTTGGATTTTCTGTTATATGGTTTTCAGATCCTTTTTGCCTCTTCACAGTGATAGATATTCATCATGAGTAAGGATCCATGTTGAACATTGATTCGTGCCCTCTTTACTTTGTTGATAATGAGACTGCACGTGCATGATAGTGAGTGGCTCTTTCTGGGAGGGTGTGGATGGCTTACTGTAACCTGATCTGCACAAAACGTAGTGAGGAGCAGAATGGCTGAAACTTGAAAAGGGCGAATGAAAAAGGTAAATTTGTTACATATTTTTGGAATTCCGGGTCATTAAGATCAGACTTCCGGGACCTGTTGGCATGTGAGGGTCTTCGGTTTTCTAGGGATATGGGCTGAAGCACTGCCTGGGGTTCTGGGTGTCAGACAACAGTTGTGAATGAAGGCTTCCCCAGTTAGGTGATGAATGTACTTTTAGCAAAGCAAGAAACTCCCCCTAACTCAAGAGAAAATTGAGCTATATATTCCCTGGTGGTAAAAAACACACTTGTTCAAAATCTTCATTCCAGTTGTTTAAGTTCCTAAGAGAGCTGTGATCGTTTAAAAATC